GCCCGCTTCAGCGCGTCCAGCCCCTGCCGCACCTTGTCCTGCACGGCCGGGGCTCCCGAGGAGGGCTCGGTGCTGGCCTCCAGCTCTTCCCACAGCCGCCGTCCCAACGCCAGCAGCTCCGCCAGCCGGGGGCCGTCCGCGCCCGCCTCCGCCATCATGGGCCGGGAACGGCGCCGCCGCCACTTCCGGCGCGGTCCGGCGCGACCGTACCCGCCCCGGCCGCCATCTTGGGAAGGTCACCGCCATAGGCACAGCATGGTGCGACATCTTGGGGAGGTCACGGCTGGAGCCACGGCGGGCGCCATCTTGGGGAGGGCACGGAAGCAGCCGGGGCGCGGAGCCGCCATGCTGGTGAGGGCGGGCTGAGGGGCAGCGGGCCCTGTGGGCGCCGTGATGGCCCCGCGCTCGCCCCGCAGCTCTGGAAGCCCCGGGCACCGCGGGCAGGAGCGGCTCGGAGCGGCCGGGAGGGCTCAGGGGCCTCCAGGGCCCGCGCGCTTTTCCCTGCCAGGCCCTGCCTGGTGCGCCGGCCCGCGCGGGTCCTGGCAGGGAGCGCTGGGATGGAGGCTGGGAAACTGGGAAAAATGTGGATAATTAGATAAATTGGCAGAAAACATCCGTTTTCCCTCTGCAATAAAAGGCGGACACAGTGGATATCCTCTACAGTGCAGTCAATAAATATCAATTTATTTGTGTGAGCACAGCACTTTCCTATTCACTATTTTTTCTACGGTACAAGTGGAGCATGCAACTTTTTTTTTTTTTTTTTTTTTTTTTTTTTTTTTTTTTTTTGCTTTTTTCTTAATTTATTTCACTCCTAAAATCCCTAAAATTCAACCAGGCATCAGGCAGGTTAGGGTTAAACCTGTGCTTTTAGGAGCAGGTTATTTCCCTTAGAAATACAGGTGACTGACCTGGCTGTGAGCTAAGCATGGATGTAGCAACCACTGCTACTACTCCTGAGTAATTCTAACTCAGCCTCTGAGCATGACTCAGTTTACGATTTACTCTGTTTGTTTCCTTCATGCCTGTGTCAGATTGTGCAATGAGTTGTTACTCACAGAGCCCAGGAGTGCTGTGGGTCCTCCCAACCTGTCTGGCCCCATTTTGCTGCTGGGAGGATCTCCTGGGTATTCCTGGTGGGATGGCAGCCCCAGAGGGGGGTTCACGGCCACAGCAGCGTCTGCTCTGCAGAGGAGAGAGTGCCCAGGCTCCCGTCCTGCAGAGAAATTCCTCCTGGGAGAAATCAAATCTTTCCCTGTGAGGGTGGGGATGCCCTGGAATGGATTTCCCAGAGAGGCTGTGGCTGTTCCATCCCTGGAAGTGGCCAGGTCCAGGCTGGATGGGGTTTGGAGCAACCTGGGATGAGGAAAGTGTCCACCCATGGTATAGGGTGGAATAAGATGAGCTTTGAGGTCCCTTCTACCAAACCATCCTAGAATTCCATGATTCCAAGGGTTGGAGAGCTGCTTCCCCTCCAAACCCCCCACAGCCCCTGGCAGAACTGACCTTCCAGCTGCACCCAAAATTCCTCAGGCTGCAGCTGGTTCCCCCTCAGACCTTATGGCTCTTACTCACCCCTGATTGTCCCTGTCCCTCAGCTGAAGATCCCCACACGGACAATCCCTGCTCTGGTTTGTCACCCTTAGGGCACCACGGTGCTGCTGAACGGCCCAGGAGCAAAGGAGAACAGAGAGGGAAGGGTTTTTCCTTAAATACAGGCGTTTACTCATGTCTGTGCCTTGTGGTGTGATGGTGCATGGACCAACCATCCCAAAGGTCACAGCAACATCCCCCAAATATTCCCAGCAGTGCAGGCTGGACAGGGCTCGGAGCACCCTGGGGTAGGAGAAGGCTCCCTGCTCATACCAGGAGGTGGAACTGGCTGAGCTTTAAGGTCCCTTCAACCCAAACCATTCCAGGATTCCCTGATTCTGTGAGATGTCACAGCTGAGCCCACCCTGGGCTTTGTCCTGCTCGCGGCTCAATGTGAGCAGCACAAGGAAATGCAAGTGCAGGTCCCCATCCACACCCCAGGGCTGTGCAGAAGAAATGGCCCAACACATCCTTGAACTTTTGGAGCCATCCTTCCTCCAAAACGCTTAATTACCAATGGTTTGTTGCCCATATTACCCTCCTGCAATGAGTTATGCAGCATCCCTCAATGAATAAGGAAATAAAAGGGAAAATAAATATAAATCAGCGTTTTAACAGCAAAATCAAAAGAACCCATGAAAATCACTCGCCTTCCTCCCGACTTTATTGTTTGCACAAGTCTGACCAGCAGTAAATAACCACGTTCACACCAGCGCTACTCCCTTAACCCCCCTGGGGACAAACACAGGGCTCATTCCCACCGCATCCATCCTCTGGCTCCTGGGGGATGCTGCCATCCCTGCAGGTCTCACATCCCTGCCAATTCCAGGCGCGGGCCCGGGTTCCAGCAGCCCCACCGAGAGCTGTCACAGAGCTGTCACCCCCTGCCAGCCTGACCCTTTGCACTCCCCAGCCAATTCCGGCTCCTTCCCATCTCCCGCAGGATTCCGGCAGCACAGGGACCCCTCCGGCCTTTCCCCAGCTCTCCCCTGTCGCGTTTGGAGTCGGGGGGGAGAGGAGGAGTGGATTCTGCATATTCAGCACTTGACCCTGCCTTTTCCCAGGCAGAAATTCCAACGGGACCTCTCTAGGAGGGACCCCGACGGCTCCCCTGGGCATTCCTTGCCATTGTGGCTCCTCTCCTCTCCCCCGGGCGATGTGTGTTTGTAGTTACCAAATGCAAATCACATTTCCCACCCTCCTGGCTGGAGTTCCTGGTGGGTTTTTTCTCCTCTCAGCACGGTTTTGCAATGCTCGGCGGAGTTCGCAGCCCGTCCCGTTGTCACCTCCCTGTGATCTGGGATGCGCGGGGAGTTGGATGGAGGGAAGGCATTGAGGCAATCCTGATTTAGTACCTGCATCTCTCCAGAAACTGCGGCTGTTGTGCTGCCTGGCAGCTGAAACTCCTTTTTCTGGGGAATGCTGGGTATTGATCCCCTAATTGCATTCAAAAAGGAAAACTCGAGATCGCTTTTGGCCTTGGGCAGCTGCGGTTTTCCAGGCACTCTCGGAAGGGAGATGGCAGCAGGCAGAGCCTCTCAATGGCACATTTACAACTGATAAGGAGGGTTAACTCGCTCCTGGCACTTCCCAAGCTCGGGCTCAACTTCCAGCCCCTGCATCCTGAACTCCCAGCCCCTGCATCCTCAATTTCCAGCCCCTGCATCCTCAGCTCCCAGCCCCTGCATTCTCTCCAGCCACCTCTGATTCCTTCCCTGCTCTCGCAGAAAGCTGGAGCACATTAAGGGGAGGGGGTGTTTTACAAGAAAAGCTCGTGCATTGATTCCGTGACCCAGCAGAGACCATTAAAAGTGATGGAATGGATATGGAAATGAGTAATCGTCCAGCTGGGCTGGGGCTGATCGCGGCCAACTCCGCTCAATGGGAACCAAAAATAGAGCGGAGCTGCTGGAGCCTCCAGGCAGTGCTGGGAGCTGCAGGAATCCACCCGAGGGTTCCCATCCCCTTTACCTGTGCTCCTGGTTCTGTGCAGTCCCTGCAGCACCTGTTTGGACTCATCCTTTCTCTCCAAGGGCTGCACCAGCAGGAATCTCATCCCATCCAAGTGCTTGGCCAGATTCCATGCTATGGGAAATCTGGGAGCCCCCATCGCTGGCTCTCAACCCCTTGCTGTTCACACACACACACTTGGCTCATCCAGCCCACATTCCCAAGGATCAGAAAATAACCCTGGACTGCCACAGCTTCCAGCAGCAGCCCTGAATCCCAGGCAGGCAGAGAGCTGAGGAAGCAGAGGGTAAAACAGGAGCAGAGGAAGCCAGGGATCTGTAATTAAAGGCAAATCCAGGCCAGTGAGAAGCAGAAAGAGTTAAAAGCGAGCTGGTCCTCAGAAAAGGAAAGGAAAAGTATGGACATGGGGCTTTATGGATACAAGGCTCTCCTTACAGCCTCTTTCTCCAGGACCAGCTTGGAAGGACATGCAGGAAAGATTGTCCTAGAAAACAAGGCACAGAGAGTTATAACATTTATTTAAAAACACACACCAGAATCCCACTTACAGGAAGTACAAAAAATAAAGGTTATTTCTTGCTTCCCCAAGACCCTGGAGTTGTGTCCCCTCTCCAGGCCAGAATTCCAACACACCTCATCCTGAAGGGTGGAAGGAGTGGGCTGAAGACCTCAGTGGGGTGGAAGGAGGGGCAGGAAGGACAAGCCATGAGAATTTAATGTGTTGAGTGTGCTCCCACCTCTGATGTGGGGACAGAAGCTACAGTGATGCCATGGCTGGGTTGTTAACATGTGGTCAGGCGTGGGTTTGCCAGGCTGCCCAGGTAACACACTCCTGGTAGACGTGGGTTTGCCAGGCTGCCCAGTTTTGGCAGCCCCCAGGAGCTCTCCTGTCCCTGATGTCTCTGCCATCAACAAGAGCAGCACCATCTCCATGCATGCACTGGGGTGCTGCAGAGGGCCCTGGAGCAGGGTCCTCCCCTGGATGAGCCAACAGCAGAGTCCTGTTCCCAGGGGAGCTGCCCATGACACCCTCACCCAAAGCAGCAGCGTTCCATCCCTGCAGCTTCTCCCAGCGGATAACTCTACCCCCTTCCATCTATCACTCCTGGCTTTCAGGAGCTGTCAGAATCCTCCTGCAAAGGGACAATGGCAGCCCAGGGTCCCTGTTTCCCCCAGAGAAAGGGGTTTGTGGAATGATCAATGGCTTTTCCCAGCTGGAGACAAAGGGCTGGCCACTGACCAACTGCAGGAGGGCAGCTCTTTGTCCTGCCCCGAGGTCTGGGTTGGAAGGCACCAAAAATTCCCAAAATCTCTCAGTGTTAGGCTTTCCACGAGCGACCAGGATTCGTGCACAGCCTCCTCCTTGCTGGGGCACCCCTTGGGACGGGCTCCTGGTGTCCAGCCGTGCCTGGTGGGTGCCAGAGGGGGTTCTCTGCTCACTTGCAGACGTGTCTGTCCAGGCTGCGGCGGCAGCGCCGGCACACCACGGAGCAGCACCAGCGGTAGCGGCAGTGGCAGCGCTCCTGCACCTCCTCCGTGTAGGTGTTGTAGCCACGGCCACAGCACAGCAGGTCACAGCTGTCACTGCCCACTGAGCTCCTGTTGCACGGCCTGCAGAGAGATGTGGGACATGGGGACCTGCCCTCCCCAGCCCTGGCAGTCCCCAGAGTTGGTGTGCTCAGAGCAGGAGGCAGCAGGATCATGGAATCATGGAATGGTTGGGGTGGAAGGGATCTTAAAGATCATCCAGTGCCACCCCTGCCATGGGCAGGGACACCTTCCACTGTCCCAGGTGCTCCAAGCCCTGTCCAGCCTGGCCTTGGACACTGCCAGGGATCCAGGGGCAGACACAGCTTCTCTGGGCACCCTGTGCCAGGGCCTCCCCACCCTCACAGCCAGGAATTCCTTCCCAATATCCCAACTAACCCGGGCAGTGGGAAGCCATTCCCCCTTGTCCTATCCCTCCATCCCTTGTCCCAAGTCCCTCTCCAGCTTTCCTGGACCCCCTTTAGGCACTGGAAGGGGCTCTGAGATCTCCCTGGAACCTTCTCTTCTGCAGGTGAGCACCCCCAGCTCTCCCAGCCTGGTTCCAGCCCTGGGAGCATCTCCCTGGGCACACACAGACTCATTGAACAAGTCCCGGCCAGTCTTGTATTGGGGTCCCAGACCTGGACACAGCAGTGCAGGAGGGGTCTCACAGGACAGGGATTCAGGGATCTGCTGCAGGCTCACCCCAGCCCAGCCACATCAGCTGCCCAGGACACCCAAACCCATCAGAACAGGCACTCCTGGAATCAGAGACTGAGTTCTTCCTACCTGTCCTGTGTCCCCAGAGAACCCAGCTGGGGGTTTGGGGTGCAGTAGTCAGGAGAGCTGATGAGATAAACCAGATCCATCTCTGTCACTGGCCTGGCATCCCCTTCCTTGGGGATCAGCTGCTTCCTGGGCCCCACGAGCCGATGGGTCACCTTGAGGGCTGCCAGGTACCTGGATTTGAGGTCAGAGGCGATTTCACCCAGGTCTGGCAGCCCTTTCCAGCAGGTCTTCACTGAGCAGGAGCCTGAAACCCCGTGGCATTTACACCTGGTATCCAGGGAGTCACTGAGCACCTGCAGGGAAACAGGTGAGTTTGCTCTCTCCTGGTGCTGCCCCAGGGATTGACCCCCAGGGGCACCCACGGGAGTTTCAAGGAATGAAAGAGCTCAGAGCTGAATATAATGGGGCAATCAGGGGCTCAGGCCTGCTTCAATCCCTTCTGATAAGAACCTGATCCTTGGGGAACTTCCAGGGGAGCTGGCAATGGGGCTGGAGGCTTCCCAAGCCTCACCTGGGGAACAGGAGTGGATGGAAGCACACAGATGGGATGGGCTGGGGAGTGGGGCAGGACAAGCTCTGTTTCCAGTGAGAAGGGTGGAAAGAAGATCTCTCCTGTCTCCCAGAGCACAGGGAGTACTGATGTGAAATATCAGCTAACTGGGACTACTGGTGTGAAGTGTCAGATGTGCTGGTTTTGGAAAGGGTGTGGGATGTCTGGGGGTGGGTAGCAGTGTGTGTGTGGGTGTCTGCTAACACACTTTTTAACCATTTTGTTGCCTTCTGACGTTCAGGACACCCCAAAAGCCCGTCTGGCTTAAATTAGTGACCTCTGCTCCTGCTGCTGAGCTCCATCTATCCCAGGGGGCTCAGACCCACTGTGTCACGCCCGGGCAGTCCTGGAGGGGCTCACACACCCCATCCCAGACCGCAGCACTCCCAGTTGGCTCCGTACCCTCCATCCCAACCCGCATCCCCGGGGCTGCCTCACCCACCGCCCGTCCCACGGCTCCGTTGTGCCGGTTCATGGCGCGGAGCCCGGGCGCGGTGGCGGCGCCGGCTCTGGCGGAGCCGTCGGTGAAGGCGGCGCCGAGCTGCAGCCCGTGGCTCAGGTTGTCGCCGCAGCCGCCCCAGCGGGAGGCGGGCGCGGGGGGCTCGGCGGGCGCGGGGCCGCAGGAGCAGCGCGGGAGCTCCCCGGAGGCGCAGGAGCGGGCGATGCTCTGCGCCACGGCCGCCGCTGCCAGGGCGTGCACGAAGGCGGCTTCCCGCGTTCCTGCGGAGAAATCAAGGGTGTTTGGATGTTTTCTTCCTCGCTGCACAGCCAGGCTTCCCCCTCACACGTCTCTCCGTTTCTTTATTTCGTCTTGCGGCAGGATAAACGCAAGGACTCTCAAATTTTGTGTTTTAACCTGTGGCCCCTGGGTTACACTGACAGCATCCCCACCTCTTCCCCCGCGTTTTTTTGGGCGCCTCTGGCAGCTGTTTGAAATGGATTTTACTGTCTGTCACCTCCCCCAGACGCAACTTGCACAGGATTAACACCACGTAAAGGCAGCATATTTACCCCAAAACAGAAATCCACGCGCTGCCAGCCCGGGATGCTCCTGGGGCAGAGCAGGCTGGGCGGGAGGAGCATCCCTTACCTGTGAGCAGGTCCGGCCCGAAGCTGGGGGCACGCTGGATGGAGGAGCAGTTCCAGCGCATGTCGGCAAAGCTCTGCTGGCACAGCTGCTGCGTCCGGCGGGCGGCCCGGACAACGCTGGGCATCGCCTCCAGGTGCCGGCGGCACAGCTGCAGCTGCTCGGGCACCAGCAGCCGGCAGTGCTGGCTCTCGTTCCAGGCCACCCCGCTGCCCGCCAGCCCGCTGTGGGGAGAGCTGGGGGTCACCGGGGGGGCCGCAGCGCCCCCAGGGACCGCCAAGAGGGGCTCTGGAAGGAGAGATCCCCATCCCTACTCACAGCCACTGGATGGCTGCGGAGAGCCCCAGCTGGCACAGCAGCGCGGTGGCAGCGGCGGCGGGGCGGCCCATGGCCGGGAATGGGGCTGGGATGGGGACTGGGACAGGGACAGAGCTGGGAGTGGGGCTGGGGTGCGTACAGGGAGCTGGGATGGGGCTGGGATGGAGACTGGGAGCTGGAATGGGGATTGGGAGCTGGGATGGGGATTGGGAGCTGGGGCTGGGATGGCGATTGGGAGCTGGGATGGGGCTGGGATGGGGATTGGGAGCTGGGATGGAGCTGGGAGTGGGGCTGGAATGGGAACTGGGAGCTGGGATGGGGATCGGGAGCTGGGATAGGGTTTGCGAGCAAGGCTGGGGCCACTCGGCCCCACGGCCCCTTTTATAGCCGCGGGTCCTGCCCCCCGGGGAGGGGAACAAAGGCGGTTTCGGTGCCATTCACACACAGGGTTAGGGACAAGGAGGGGCTGGAGGGAGGCCAGCTGTCACCAGCAGTGACCGTCCCCAAGCAGCACCTGGAGGGGGTGAGGGATGAGCCACTGCAGGATGTTCCCCCAGCAGTGCCAAGGCCAATGCTGACCGTGTCCCCAAAGTGCCACATCCACGTGGATTTAAAAATCACTGCTGGGCTGTGACTCCACCACTGACCGTGTCCCCAAAGTGCCACATCCACGTGGATTTTAAACCACTGTAGGGCTGTGATTCCACTGCTGCCCTGGGTGCCCTTTCCATGAGGAATTTTCCCTAATATCCTGGAAAATCTCCCCTGCACATCTGGAAGCTGTGTCCTCCTGTCCTGTCCCCTGGGAACAGAGCCCAACCCCGCTGGCTGCACCTCCTGTAGGGTCAGCACAGGCTCACAATTTCTGCTTCTTTCTCTGCCCTGGCAGGGCAGCAGGGCTGGCTCGTGCCTGTCACAAGGCGCATTTCTCGGGATCTCTCTCCCCTAAAAGTACAAAACCAAAAGTGCTGCCTGGAGCCCTTGAGGAACCAGGTAGGACGGGATTTCCCCACAGTGGGAGGTGACATTTGACACAAGCCCAGCTGACCCCAGGTTTTGGAAGGCATGACAGGTTGAAATCACTTTTTAGGCTTTCACTTTCTCCCTGGCTGTGCTACTTCCTCTCTTTCTGGAAGGTGCTTTTCCTTGACAGACCCAAACTGGGGCTTGCCATGCCCCCGTGACCTCTCACCTTGACAGGACATGCCTGGATGGTTGATTGTTGTCCCCTTGTGACCTTCCTTTGACTTGGGATCACTGCACTGAAACCAGAACACAAGGCTTGAGTCATTGTCCTTCCCAAACGATTCCCTTGGGATGCAGAGGCCACAGCCCATTGTGCTGGAGCAATGGCCCTTGAGAAGGGTCCCAGGTCACTCCCAAATCCCCCACCAAATTACAGGGGCATTGGTTAAAGAGCAGAGATAAAAGGAACACAGGGGTGACACCTAAACACCAAACCTGACGTTTGGGATTCTGTCCCTTGTGGCTTCCAGCTCAGCTCCTCCTCAGGGTGTGGATGGTGTCTTGTTTTGGGCCCTGGAGGATCTCCAGGGGGTTGCCAGGACAGCACTGGGGTTGGATGGCAGCTGGGAAGGCACCTGAGTTCCCAAGGTGTTCCAAAACCGTGAGAGTGGTCAGGAAAAGCTGCTGGAGAGCTGGAATGCAGAGAGGAACCACTCCAGGATGGAGGGAATTCCCTTCACAGGCGATGGGAGCTGTGATCAGCACCAGGACAGGGGGCTTGGTCCCACCCCATCCCTTCCTTTGGGATGGGAGCTCACCCTGGGAATGGGCAATGGAAGCAGGGTCAGCACAGGGAACTGTCACAGGCTGCCACCTCCCACCAGAGGTATTTTTACCAATCCCTTTTCACAGGAAAGTTTTGCAATGACGGAGTAGTAGGAAAAACACAAACCCTTCCTTTTAAAGCAAAGCCAGCCCTCCTTTGAACGTCAATTCCTCTTTTTAGCTCAATCCTTGGAACAAGAGGAGGGTGAGTGCTAAAAATACCCCTTCCTTCCCCTTCCACACTGAGCTGGGGGGTGGCAGGAGGGGATTCCCAGCCCAGGAGAGGCTTCCCTTCCCCAGCTGGGGCTTCACTGCTGGGGGAGACCAAAGGAGCCGGGAAAACTTTGGGAAAGGTCCTGTCCCATCCCATCCCCCTGCCTGGTGCTGGCCACCCTGGGGACACGGGGAGGGGACAGCTCCAGGAGGGGCTAAAGCGGCAGAGCTGGTGCTGGGGTGAGGCTTTAGCGCAGGAACAGCAAAGAGTTGTCCTGGAGGGCCAAAGGTTGCTGTCCCTCGCTCCAGGGAGGCAGGGGCCAAAGCAAACACCCGTGAGTGGATTGTGACCCCTGTGAGCACGCAGGGTCCCCATGCACTGTCCCAGCTCCCAGTGTCCCTGATCCCAGGCACAGCAGGGGCAGATCCAGGGACCCTCCAGGGGTTTCCCTGTCACCAAAGTGTCCCCCAGGCCCCGGTGACCTCCCCACCCCAGCCTCACCTCCCGGCCGAGCCTGTGAGGAGCCACATCCTGTGCCAGAGCGGTGACAGTGACGCAGGGGGAGGTGGCACATGGTCACGGGGCACTGACGCTCCAGCTCCTGCCACGGCTCGGGATGGGGATGAGATTCCTGCTGCTGGTGGGCACTGGCAGCACCCTGTCCCCTGTGGGATGGTCACCCTGGGTGGCAGGAGCCCCTCCTGACACGGAGCTCAGCTTTTCTTCAGGGAAACCATCCCCTTCCTCTTTCCAGAGAGCACGGGACAGGCTGGGGACAGTGGCAGGGACCTGACCCTGCAGAGCCACCTCCCAGTGCCACCTGTCCCTCCCTACAGCATCCCAAACCTGGCAGCAGGGACAGCGGCTCTGCATGAGGACACACACAGGGGGTGACACTTCCCTGTGTGCCCACAGCAGTGTCCCCGTGCAGGCAGCCCAGCACAGCTGGCAGGGAGGATCCAGCTGCAGAACATGTGGCACATCTGTCCCCAAACCCCCAGCAGAAGCAGGAGGGACCCGGGGGGACACGTTCCACATCTGCCACACCCCGGGGCACCTCGGGATGGAGGGCCCAGCCCGGCCAGAGCCCCTGGAGAGGAGGAAAAGTGTCATGAACGACACGTCCGGCCTCCCCCGGGCTGGGCAGGGCTGCCAGGGGAGCTGTGCCAGGCTGGGATAATGGGAAGCAGCCCTACGGATGGGAGGGACACAGGGACGTGTCCTGGAGGTGCCACCAGCCTCTTGTGCCATCCCAAAGCCACAGAGAAAGCGCCACATTCACCAGGAGAACATCCCAGGCAGCACCAGGATGGGCTGGATGAGATAAAACAGATTTGGGAATGGGATCTGCAACAATATCAGGGAAAATTAAATAAACTGTACCTCCAGCAGCCCTCTGGAAAGGGAGGTACATTCAGCTGGGTGAAAGGACTCCTTATCTTCCTTATCTTATCAGGACTGGGGAGATTTAGGTTAATTTGGGCTCTGTCTGAACACAGAACAAGAGAAATGCTCTCCTCTCTGCCCAGCTGGGATGGCCTGAGGAGAGAGATCTCCCAGGCGCTTCCCAGGATATCCTTCAGCTCCTGCAGCAGATGAAGCTCTGGATCATGAAAAAAAGACCAAAAAAAAAAGAGGGAAAAGGGAAAAATAAAAAAACCAAGCAAAAAGGGAAAAGCAAAGCTGCTGTAATTGAAGGGAGTTGAGGGAAGGTAATTTCCGCCTGGGTTAGTGAAACAGCTCGGTGGAAATTCTTGATAAAAATCTATTCTTCTTTGAAAATGCAGATCCAGGGAAATGTGAAGGCTTTCCACTGGAAAGAATGAGTTTTGCTGGATTTCTCAACCAGTTCTCTAGAAAATTTGTCAATGGTCACAACATTTTAATCACTGCTGCTTTTTTTGTCAGACCAAAATTTACACTCCTGCCTCCTTCCAGCCTGACATGAAAACACAACATTTTTGGCATCGCCGCTTTATTTGTTCAAAATTTAATATTCTACAGATCTTTTGCCCTTCTTCTGGATCAAGAAAACACTGGAGATGCCAAGGCATGCCTGGGATAGGGAAACCATTTCCCCTAAAGCACAGGAAGCTCCGGATGAGCAGCAGAGCAGAGCTCAGCACAGACCCCGCGTTTCTCTTGGCCTCGTGCTGGTTCTGGGGACACAAACATGGTTTGGTGCCACCTCATTGTCCCACCCTGGGCCAGCACAGGCTCACCTCATGTCCTGCTCCTGGCCAAGCTGCTCCTGGGGCTGGAAGAGGGATTAAATTCTTGGTAAATCCATGAGAGCAGAACCTGGAATCCCGTTTTTCTTTGAGGCAGGAAAGCACACAGACATCAATAATGGTGATAACCCAACAGCATTGCCCTGGCTCATTTTCCACACCTTCACAGCTCCTCCTCAGCCTGGGGAGTTCCCCCTCTTCCCCCCTTACCCTGGGCTGCACAGAACCCTTAGGGCTCAAAAAATCCTCTGAGATCAAGTCCAGTTATTTGGGAGCTTTTTTTCTACGGGGTAAAACCAGTCCCAGGATTCTCCCCCTCTATTTTTAGTGCACTTTCCAGCAGATGCTTCAATCCCCAGAGAAACTCCAGCATCAGCAGCCGCTGTCCCCAAGTGCCACTGCCCTGAAGGGGTCAACCCCCGCCAGCTGCTGCTCCGCGGGGACACAAACACGGCTGGGGACACTCAGGGTGCCCGAGGCAGCGCCTGGCACCGAGTGCCGGCAGCGCATGGTGTCCCTGAGCACCCGGTGGTACGCGGTGTCCCCGCCCGTCCCCAGTGTCCCCGCCCGTCCCCAGCTCCGGGATTAACGCTGGTGGCAGCAGCACAAAGCCAGGACATCTCCTGTGATACAGCCTGGGAAGGGCTGAAACGAGGAGCAGAGGCCACAAAAATGCACCAGAAACACCCAGGGAAGGCACTTTGGGCACTGAAGTGTCCCTGTAATGTCACCGAGCGCTGGGGCAGGAGGATGGCACAGGGTGGGCTGAGCTCCCCCAGCTGCTGTCCCAGCATTGGAAAAGCAAATCCTGCCCCAGGGACAGTCTGCACTCACC